TTACTGGCGTCATAACACATCATCGTCTTTTTGCGCAATCACCATCGTTTATCATCTCACAACGTTAACGTTGTCGTTTTCCAATATCACCTCCACATTCGCTCTGTAACACCACCACATATTTTCTTTTTTTGAATCATCATCTCGGGCGGCATCATACATCATACTTGTGGCGGATCGACGCGAGATTGTCGTCTGTTCATTTCGTGGGAAATTGTCGATACCTTGTCATCAAGTTACTTGGGTGTTACTGCAGGGATTGTCCGTGTTTGGGAAAACCCAGTGTACACCTTGCTTCTGTTTCAGATTCTCTTTGGCGCGCCTTGTTGGCGCTATCCCGTACTATACTAGACCGAGCTTTTTCCTTTATGTGCTTCATTTCATCGGCGGATACCCCCCAATTTGAGCATTTGGCGACTACATCATACCGTCAGCTTTTATCTCCTCTACTATATATCCTTGTTGGTTAAAAGGGAAGGCTGGGGTGAAGGAAGGGAGGCAAACCATGTTTTCTTGGGATAAACTTGGTAACAACTTGGGAGGTGGGTAGAATAGTTTTTGAGCGATCAACTGGCCCTGTTTCAACTCTTCTCTTTGCGTCCCGTTTTCTACTTGCATTCTCCTTGCGTACTCTCATCTCACTATCTTGACTTTTCTTGCAAATCCACACACAACCCGTTGTAATATGTAATAGGACATATAGCCCAGGATGGCTAGTCATTGTACGTTTCTTGCCTCGCGTCTATCCACGCACATGGCTCATGGGAAGGAGTTCGATACCACCTGGCTTGTTTTTTCTCTATTATCTACTATCAACAAAGCGATTGCGGCGGTGCCGAACGCGCATCTCCTATGTACCATTAGTTAGCCATCTCCCTACCATCAATGAAAGCTGCTCGCTTGCCTGCCTCCGTCGCGGCACCAGACTGCAAAAACACCACACTACGTCTCCGCTCTCTGCTCTCCATGCCTGACCCTGTGAAATCAATCTACCAGCCTCGGGCCAGCCTTGACGATTGCGTGATCCGCTCCACAGGACACGCAACGCCACTGCGTCACTCGCCTACTCGACCACCCTCGACTAGCCAACGCATCACTCCCGCCACTGCCATGAACCCTTCTTGCGTTCACGACCAAGTGCACTAGCCACGTCTTCACGTACTTACAAGCATCTTCCCTAATCAGATCTTTCTCTCGCCTCCGAAAGATCTCCATCGGTCCTACTCGTGATCTTCAGCGTGCATGTGTATGGCAGTCATTCCTTACTTGGTCCTCACAGCATCTTCCCAGATAGAAAGCTGGATACATGGTACTGGAGTGTACAGCGGTGTCCTCGTCCACCACGGTGAAGTCGGCAGGCATACGCTGACAGTCAGTCGCAGCGTCGACCAAGTCCATAAACCTGGTGATCTTCGTCTACGCGCACACATCACCACCTCTTCTTCTGCTACACCCAAAGCACAACAGCGTATTTCCACCACTCTATCTCCGCCTACCCAAACCGAGGTGTCTCAACAAAGCGGAAACGGAAGGTAACACGGTAAGCTGCGGCGGGGACGGCCCGTCGCATATGCAGGTCTGTGTACATATGCAGCCAGCCACCAGCCACCAGCCACTACCACAACGGAAAAGGAGATGGTATGACGTCGGTAGTCGCGATTGAGATTGCGGTCGCGATTGCGATCACGAGCTCGATTTGGCATGTTCAACTGAAACTGTTTTTGCTTTTAGGAGGGGGCCGAGTCTGGTACGCATTAAAGGGGGGAGATTGGGGTGGGATAAAAAGTAAGTATGGTTTATCTAGCTCGCGAGCGAGCGCGAGCGCGAGCGTCGTAGTGTTAGTTCAACACGGAAGAACTTCCCGGTGATGACTGATCTTGCGTTGTTTCATGTGGTGCTACATCGAGTTGATTGCAATCAATGGTCGAATCTATTGATTCTAGTATGGACTTTCCAAGTCTCTGTAGAGACGATGCCGCATAGCCGTCACTGTATTCCCCATATCTAAGAAACGCCATAGGAAGGAGCATTGCATGGCGTTTCTTAGATGATTGATTGCTTTGCTTTGAATTTGCTTTGAATACACGAATTCGAAGCAAAGCAATCAATCATCTAAAAAACGCCATGCAATGCTCCTGCCTGTTTCCAATGCCTTCATCTTTTCGTAAGCATGGCTTTACCATCCGCCACCGGCGGTAACAGCCAGCCCAGCAACACGTTCCATGTCACTCGGCTTCTTCTTGCCAACATCGCTTTCGACCTTGATGTACGAAGTGTATATCAGCTTCTGCTGATCGACGCCCGTGATATCAGCCCAATGTGCCATGAGCTGCTTCATGCGTGACCTCGATATCCCATCAACGATATCTTGGTCAGGAGAGTTTCCATTCGCCTCCCCATTTGTCATGTGTTGATCGCCGTCCCCGTTTGATCTCTCTTCTTCCGAGTCTGTGCCCGAGAAGTAGGCTTCGTCCACCTTTGCCAGCCACTCTTTTTGATCCTTTGGGCCTGGCTTGGGCGCGGGCGCATCTTCGCTCGCCTCTTGAATCCCTTCGTAGACGCGCACTTCTTCCACTTCCTGAACCTTGACTTGACCACCGCCGTTTGTGCATCCACCGGGACAAGCCATGACCTCCACGTACGCATAGTCCTTTACACCCTCACCCGCAGCAGCGACTGCACCACCTGGTCTCCTGCTAACACCCGTTTTGCCGCCCGGTAATCTACTGGCTTTTGCTGGCTTCAGTCGCCGTACTAAGTTCTGAATGTTTCTGAAACCATAGAATCGTGCTGCTTTAATAATCGTTTCTGAGCCACGAACTACTGAGTATTCCACTACATCAGCATTGCGCCCTCGAACTGTCGATATTGAAGATCCCGGGTTTTGAGCTTGGTAGGTTTGCAGTATGTGGTGTAGATATCCGCCAGATGGACCGGCGGCTGCGCTTTGGTTCTTCCGGCGCGAAGGAGGGAATAGGAATGCATCTAGCTTTGGGTCTGGGAACGGCGTTCGGTCGCTAGATGGAAGTGGTGTACGAGGAAGGGAAGCGAAATTGATGCCACGGGCTGCTGCGAGATGTAAGAGTTCGCGAGCTGTGATTACGCAGTCGGTATCGCGGATCTTTTCCTGCGACTGGTCATAGCTAGGTAGCCATGCAGCTGATGTTAGCTCTCCACGGCTAGCTTCAAGCTTCTTGTCGAAGCATGGCATGATGGCGAGGTGCCATATCTGAGATGGCAGCACGTTATAACGCTCGCTAAGAACCGACTTGATCAAAGTGCCGGTAAGAGCTTGTGGCGACTTGAGTCGCGAGAGATGCGGGAGAACGTATGGATGTGTCTTCTCTGCGTAGCATATCCATCCTGGACAGGCAGATGTGAGTATAGGAGCTTTTGGAGTCGTATCGATTGAGCCCTCGGATCCGGGCTTTGGTGTAATCTTAGATGCTTCGGGAGAGAGTGCATTTGTGACCTCGTCTGCTGCGGCAACGAGACAGGCTTCGCGCATCGCGTTGGTGTCGATAATCCACGTGAAATCGCTTCCTTGATGGCCACCTGACCTCAGACCTAAAGGTCCACTAAGAAGCTGCGCGATCATGTTCCCAGCCTCTACCTCGGAAATGTTGAAGACGGCTGCCAGACTTGCGCGCGACTGTGGTGAGACGCTTGCGACGAATAGCTTTCCTTCAGCATTTTGCCCATTCAGATCTTTCTCTGTCCCATTGCTCGTATGTCCATTCGTATGTCCATTCGTCCCATTGTGTGCCAGCCACGGTGCGCGTAACGACGGGTGGGTATCAAGCGTTGTGAGGACCTCGGTATGCGATTGCAGCGAAACCAATACGGCTTCCGCACTTGTCACACATCCTGAACAAGCGAGACAATCGGTAAGCGATATCGAAGCGGGCGGCGGCGGTTCTGAGGCGGCGGCTTTCTCTTCGGTCGTGACTTCGTATGGATTCTAGCATCATTGTTAGAATGCGCCCGCGCATGACGCAATGCGATAACCTAACATACCGAGTTGTCTGCCTGCTGTACGGGGAGCGTCTCTATAGGTTTTATGCACGCGACACCCGGTGATATGAAGTCGTTGAGGTCGTCTGCTGAAAGAATGGCGCTCATGTTGCGCCGTGTTGTAGTGGGGGAGGGGTGGCAAGCGGTATTGCGATGAGAGTAAAAACGACCGCAGAGACAGCAAACACCAGACTATGCAAGCAAAATGTTGAGGAACGAGTGGAGGAAGAACGAAGAGCGCGATACAATCAAGAAAGTCCGAGACTCACGCTGCCCCGATGTCGCGGAGAAAGCAGTCACGCAACGCGCCGGCCTATCGATAGGCTCGCATTTCCAAAAGATTCCGAGATTACAAACCTCCGCGGCGAGTCGCCGCCACACTACCTAGGTATCCACATCTTTTGCATGCCCGCCGTCACTTCTCACGTGCTTACACATGCCAATGTCGAGTGCAGCAGGAACACATATCCACACTTGGCTACATTAGCTGCCGCAATATACTCGCTCACGGAGTATAGGAGCATACAGCATGCGCCCCGCATGCTTTTCGGCAGATCGATTTAGCCTAGCAAGCCGCGCATCGAATGGTTGGAGGGAAGGCAACAAACCTGGAAATGACCAACATGAATATAGTTGTTCGCTTTACTCCTGACCATGCCGTGCCACAGGAGTCTGACTTGCTCATCATGTTTTCTTTCCTCACATCTCTGCAGTGTTGCTGCTGCTACGTTCCGCCCGCATGCGACGCATTTCTATTGATACCTTGGGACTGATGTCTTCCAAGAGCGGCACGAGGTTTGAGGTCGCAAGGAGAAGGAGTGGGTGGATGTCTGCGCCTAGACTGCTGACGACATGTGTCTTCTTCGGTGCCTTGTGGTTGTGGTTCAACACAAGGACGTCGGAAGTTCTGATACCAGAGGATTCATTCGCCTTTGTACAGGACGAAACCTTAAGGGATATATTGAACACAACGCTAGGGGTACAACATGTCAGCTTCTCACATCCTACCTACACTAACCCAACTCAAGTTCGAGAAGATTTTGGTCCTCAACCTGCCCTCCCGTACCGATCGTCGCGATGCAATGAGTCTTGCAGCAGCAATTTCCAACATCAAGCTCGAATTTGTCGAAGGCGTAACAGGGGAGAGTATCAACAACAAGGCATATCCTCTACCAGAAGAGAACAGAAAGCTTTCAGCCGGCATTCGAGGAAGTTGGAGAACACATATGAACGCCCTACAACAGTACACGCTCTCCACCCTTGACTAGGAGACATCACTGACCTAACAACATTCAGAATAGTCAATCAAAACCTAACCACAGCCCTCATCCTCGAAGACGACGTAGATTGGGACACACGCATACGTCAAAACCTACAACGCTTCGCCCTCGCCTCCCGCTTCCTATCCTCAAACCACACGTCCATCTCCCTCTCCAAACTGCACGCCCACCGAAACACCGAAACAACACATACCGCCCTCCAAATCATCGACACAACCAACCTCGCCAAAAAGCTCATCTCCCTCCCTCTATCATCCCTCCCACGCCAATCCCACCTTACCCACACCTCATCACCACCATCACCCTACGGCGACCCCACAAAATGGGACATACTCTGGCTCGGCCACTGCGGAACCGGCATGCCACGTGCAGCCCCCGGTCAGCACTCCCAAGTCTACGACCACGCAGTCCACCGCACAATAACCCTTACGCACACCAACGACGCCACGGTACCCTCACCCCAGCACCTAAAAGCCCATCCTTTCCAAGGCGAACTAGACGCCCTAGCCACCGCTTTCCCACCACACACACGCATCTACCACCGCGCCACAGGCGGCACCCTCTGTACAGTCGGATACGCCGTCTCGCAACGCGGCGCCCGGCGCTTGTTGCATCAATTCGGGGTGGCGGGTTGGAACGGGATTTTCGACAGTGAGCTTGGGCGGTGGTGTGCTGGGAACGATCCGGATATGGGGCGGCAGGCAAAGCACTCTTCGACCGGTGCTAGGGCTGGTGGTGGTGTGGGTGTGAAGGGGGATGAGAGGGTTTGTTTGACGACTCAACCACCTGTCTTCGCGCATCATCATCCGAGTGGTGGGGAGAGTGATATTGGTGGTTTGGGAGGCGGGTTTGCGAAGGGGGTTGAGACGAAGTATCTGAGGTATAGTGTTAGGATGAATTTGGGGGCGTTGGTTGGGAGGACGGGAGGGGAGGTTGGGGCGGAGGGTTTGGTGGATCAGTGGCCTGATGGGGGAGAATGAGGGTATGGATAGGAGGCCGGTCTTGTGTATAGGCATGAAAGCGGGCCAGGCAGGGACGATTGAGTGAAGTGTCATGAGTAGTGGTTATTCTTCAACTTCTCTGCCCTAGCTATTGAGATCCACCTACTGTGGCTTTTCTTTCGCTCTTTAGATCACCTCTTCCTCCTCTCCCTCCTTCTCCAATCAATGCACGAACCCTTTCCTTGAGACAAGACTTCCCGGTACCCGCCGAGGCGTTCTTCCTTTCTCCCTCCAACCTCATGATTAAAATAGGAACGAACGACTCGAAGGTATCATGAACAAACAGGCGGCCGTCCCGTCGTGCCCTTCCTTGTAACGCCAATGAAAAGCCAAAATAATGCTCCCTATGAACAATGCACAAGCTCACTGGGTATAATGACCTTGCGCCTTTTGTGTTCAAATAGACCCAATGCGTGCTGTAGATGGTAGCTTCGACATGACTCCGGGCTCCGCTGGTAGCATGATCGGTGTTGCGCCTGTGTTATATGCTATCGCCTTTGCGCGATCTAGTGCTTTGCGTGCAAAGTGGTGCATATGGTCTGTCCTGGCCGGGTCGGCTGGTTGCCGGTGGCTTCATCCAACAACGTTTGGTGCTCGAGTCCGTCTTGACCCTCCGATCGCAGAGACAAAACGTCCGGAATATCGAACACAAGTATCCTAGGCATGGCAAAACCGCGTCCCTCAAAATCCTCAATGCTTTTGCGCGACCAACTCTTCACTCAATCAGCGGTTTCCGTACGCCTCCCACAATTGCGATACCGAGTGCGCGTAAGCCTTCTGGGTCGTTGGATCGAACAATAGTACTGGCGGGCAACATGGGGTTGTCAGGTGTGACGTGTGCGGCGTCCTTGGCTGCCTGCTCAATGGCCTCCATTTCCTCTTTACAGCCTGCATGGTCAAACGGACATACCACAATGGGCTGACGGAGCAGAATGTCTCGGGCTGACGACATTTGCGCCTGCGTTCAGTCAGCATAATTTGCAACTCGCAATTCACCCAGTTCAGCCTACCTTGACTGTGAGGTAGTACTCAATCTTGTATAGAGTACCAGTCGTCGTAAAACCAGTAACAGCGTACATGGGGAACTCCTTCTGCCCTCTTGGGATAACACCTGCGTTGTCTCGTAGATCTTTTGCGGGGAAAACTAGCCCAAGGTTGGTGAAATAGCCCGCTTCGGGCATCCTCACTCCGACGTGTTGCTGCGTTTTTGCCAGCGTCTTGACTTTACGAGTCGGCTCATCTCCTTCGTGGTTGAAGATGATCTCTTCGTCTATGCCGACTGTAATCTTGTTGATTGTGACCTTCTTCGCCTTGCTCAGCCAGTCGGGGTTGGGACTCAATTTGATGTATACTGAGACTGGGTCCATGGGTCCATAACTCCATCTCGGCAGGCTGATGCCAAGGGTGACGAGGTGGTCCGTCACTCGTTCTGCGCTTTCGGGTCGATTGTACATGCCAAAGGTAGAGAGGGTGTCGTATCGTTGTATCGGCACGGCAAAGGGATACTTCTTCTGTTCCTGGGGCCCTTGCTGTACTGTCACGACGAGTTCGTAAAACGTCTCCGCCGTCCGACTCGGTAATTGTAGACTCGCGGGCGGGACTCTCCTCGCTACCTCCTCGCCGCCGCGTCCGTACGGTATGAAGATGACGAACGGGAGGTCCATACATAGTATACTCTCATGCTCTCTTCCGGGCGAACATCGATATAGGAGCATCTCCTTACCGACGATGTCGGTAATCTCTTTGCGCGGGGCTGCCAGATGCTTCTTCGTAACCGAGTCGGCGGACGGGTGTATGGTTTCGCGACGGTGCAATGCGATGGTGACGAGGGAGACATTGACGGGCGCCGATACTCCAATGAGTGGCCGTATCTCGACTTTGCCTTCTATTCGAGGCTGTGACATGTCAGCAATGGCCAGTGCCCTTGTCGAAGGGGAGTCGGTCATACAGCGACTCGACGCGGCTGGATGGAGCGCAAGACGCCCACTCATAACGGAAACAGACTGGAGACACGTACTAGTGTTGCTGATATGCCCGGATAGCCAACCAGAAAGTTACTGTTGGGCGGTCCTGAGACGCGAACGAAGGCCGACATGTTCGTTTCTCGCAGCGCAGGCCTGGGAGGGCAGCGGGCGCTGCATGGGCGTGTCCGTGGCCTTTCAGAATGCGGTGCCCTCGTCCGAGTCGCGCGCTGGAGGCTCTAGGGTGGTGATGCGCCGGGCAGCTATGCCGTGCTGGGAGCTAGGTAGCCTTCCGGGCAGCCAATTGTGGGGTTGAGATGATGTAGGCGCCTCGTATCTCGAACCCGCGGGGCTCAGCGTGGCAGTGAGGCCGGTGGATGCGCGGCGGGCCGACGGCTAAGGTTTGCGATGTAGGAATGGGCGTGTCTTGGGTGAATGCGCGGGGATACTGTGGTGGATTACGTCCCGAGCGTGGTAGGGCTGTCGCCGGGTGGAGCTTATGCGGCGGCGCTTATGATGAGGTCGGCCGTCTGCCAGTGTCGCGAGCAGAGGAGGCAGCGTGGGCAGCGGGCGGTAGCAATGATGATGACAGCGAATGCAGGGCGATTGCACACAGTAAGCGCAGTCGGATAGACGCGCGATGTTCTAGGCGCGACGAGGTGGAGGTGGATGGGCGCTCGACTTCGAGGGTCCGATTCGTGCGCCATCATCGCTCCTTCCAAACCACAAACACGACTGATCTGCACCCACCACCATGTCCGTCACAGTGAGTCCAACCGCCTGCCTACTGCAAGCTTGTTGCTAACAGTGACTAGCTGCATACGACAAAGGGCGATATAAAACTCGAAATATTCTGCGAAGCCGTCCCCAAGACCGCCGAGAACTTCCTCGCCCTCTGCGCGTCGGGCTTCTACAACTCTTCACCCTTCCACCGCCTGATCCCCTCCTTCATGGTCCAGACGGGCTCGCCAGCCTCCGACCCAAAGTCCAAGACTTCCACATCCATCTACGACACGCCAAACCAGCTCTTCGAGGACGAGCTTCGGCCCGCGTTGCGACACAATGCGAGAGGCATCTTGAGCATGGCGAACAAGGGACCGAATTCAAACGGCTCGCAGTTCTTCATCACGTTTGCGCCTGCGCCGCACTTGGATGGGAAGAACACCGTCTTTGGAAAGGTGCTCGAAGGATGGGAGGTACTGGATGACATGGAGGCCGTTCAAGTAGACAAGAAGTCAAGACCGCAGGAGAAGATGGAGATCAAGAATATTACCATTCATGCAAACCCGCTGGCAGGATGAACAATATTTTACTGGGCACAGCGGTAGTAATGCGACTCATGTCGAGCTGGAAGCGTAGTGTCTGATTGGAGCCTGAAGGATGTCGCGTCATCTGCAGAAAAAGAAAGCGCGGATCAAGATCTGAGAGAGCCGACCATTCACACTATCGGCGTTGGGCAGAAGGATTTCGAGTCGCTATAGGCATCACGAAGCATGGACGCAGGGAAGAGTTGGAAGAAGATCATGTCACACTGATCATGGCTGGCGAGGCCTTGGTATCTACGAGCGCCGACCTAATGCAAGAGTCAAGGAAATCTAAGAGACGTCGAAGTTAGCCCTACGCGCCATTGGTCGTTGCCCCGTTCGCTGCCATGCTAGCCGCATGCTCCTCCTCGTAGCCCTCCGTCTTCATGTCAAGCAACCCAAGTTCCTCCTCCTCAGCCTCTGTCCTCTTGTAGTCCTCGACCTTGATCTTTGGGTCGGGCTCCGGTGCCGTGAAGCTCTGGACGTAGCTGCTGGCGAGAGGGTCTTCGAGAACGAGAGTGAACTTGTCTTCGCCGTTGATGGCTGCAGAGAGGTTGTGGAAGAAGGTGTTCCACTTCTGCTTGGACTCTGAGTCCATTGAGTCTCCTCCACCGCCAGCGTCGAAGATGGAAGATTTCAAGTCATCGCGTACTTGGGTCAGTAGACCTTCGATCGTGGTGAACCTGCCACCAAGAGTACCGGGTTCAACGCTGAGGTTGAGCTCGAGACAGGACATGGCGCATGATTCGGCCTTGAGGATATCTCGCGACAGGTCTTCCTTGCTGTCAACGGTGACTGTGATGCGACGACCCAGCTCAGGAACTTCGCCTCCGGTTTTGACCTCGTTACTTCGGTCTGCATTGCATTAGCAGGTAAACGTTGATTGTTCCATGATATAAACTTACATCCGCAGTGATCGCATACTGTGCTCATCAGGACCACCTGCTTGAAGTGGGGAATGTTGACCATCTTCATGTTTGTGGTGCACGACTTGGTGCATCCCGGGCAGCTGGCAGGGAAGGAGTAGACCTGGTTCTCCACAATGTCGTCCTCATCCACGTTATTCACCATTGGGGCGTGAGAGGATGGCATCTCTGGATACATTTGCGAAGCGTGGTACTCTGGTCGGATTTCTGTGGCGGGCGCTTCACCGCTGGCGTCTCCGCTGGTGTCGCCCAGACCGAGCGCTTCGTTTTGCGCCGCCGTTCGTGGGTATTCGTTGCGAGAGTATT